TTTCTCCTTCTTATTACAGGCTGTCCTGCAGTACTTTTCACTGTTATTACCCCAAATGTCTCAATCCTCTCAAGAGAGAACTGTTAGCAGCACCCTCATACTGGACTGTGTATCTTAACAGCATCCAGGGCTCACTTTGAGACCTCCTGCATGTCACATTCTTTCTATGAAGACTGAATGGGGGTCTATTGAGTCCCAGAATGTGACTGAAACTGCTTGAATTAATTAGCAGTCCCTCCTGTTTAAAGCAGGGACTCTTTTGTGGGGCCTCCAGGTTCAGGACAGGCTCCCAAGCTGATTAGCAGTGCAGGGCCAGAGATCTGCTCCCCTGCTCCCATCAGGACCCCCTGACTCACCCTCCCTCTGTTGCAGATTTCCCCTCGTGCCTTTGCTGGCCTCGGTCCCAAGATCAGAAGCCTCTACCTGGAGAGCAACAAAATGAGCAATATCCCCAATATGAGCAACTTCACAGGTCTGGAGATCCTCAACCTGCAGGATGTACCTTTCCACTGTGACTGCCAGCTCCTTCCCCTGCACAGGTGAGTGCTGCGATGGGGGACAGCCTCAGGGATCAACCTGGGGGGCAGTTGGACCCTACTGTGCTGGAGGCACAGGCTCACGGCATGCTGGCCATTTTGGGTCCTCTCCCATGGTGGTGAGACAGAGCATGCACCTATGTGCAAGGATGGATGTAGCCTGGGCTTTCCTGGTATGGGGAAAGCAGCCAGAAGCTGGGTTAGGCAGATATTCAGATATTCAAAGGTCACCCAGGTGAGCCCCTAAGCAACCTGGAGTGACTTTGAAGTGATCATCCACACACTGGCAGAGTTTCGCCTCTCCCTTCGCCCTGTCCCATTTCTTTCCCTGATCTTCTGCCACATTTCCAGGTGGATCAACAAACTCAACCTCCGTGTAGGGGCCACCTGTGGGTCCCCTCCAGAAGCCCGGGGGCTGAAGGTAAAGCTTTCCACCACTTTCCAAACTTGTCCTGGCTGGGGCCGTGGTGAGGTTGGGGAAGCCAATCCTGAGAAGACTATGGCTGCAAGCAAGCCCAGCAAGAAAAAGAGATCGGGAAAATCTCCAGCCAGAGGCTTCAACAAGAGCAGAGCTTAGGGCTTCCTAAGGCGTGCGGGACGCAACATGGCCACACTCACACCCTGGTGAGAGCAGTTTTTTCTGGACTTGTCCCCACCATGGAGACATTGGTATTGCCCAAGGCTCAAAGGAGAGAGCCTGGTGCTACCAAAACAATGCTGATTTGGCAAAGATGCAGCATTTGGTTTTGCATTCCATAGGGTCTGCAGCATGCTTCGATGACTCAAACAACTAAGCCAAATATTTGTTTTTATTTCCCAAGGCTTCCTCCAGCCATGTGAAAAGGCTGATTCCACAAGTTTGTTTTTGTTTTTAAACGTGCTGTGCTTTCACAGCTTCTGAAGCCATTGAAGAGCCCCAGGTAGGACTGCAACCAGCATCAACCAGTAAGATCCAGCACTGGTGCAAATCTTATGCTAGAAAACTTAAAAATATCAGTGAAAGTATTGCCTGAATTCCTAGCAGCTCCTCAGAATTAAAGCATAAGCAGATTGAAGCCTTTTTATTTCCTGCAAAATTCAATCAGTGGTCTGACTGGGGAAATGGGATGAGTGATGCCATCATAAGCAGAGTGCCCAAACCCTTTCCCATGGAAGCCTAGGTTGGAGTGAAGTTTATACAAATTGAAAAGGCTTTAAAAGATAAGCATTAAACATGGAATTATTACAGAAAAAAAACCAGGTGAAAGAAAGTCAAAGGCATTTGGAAATGATCATCCTCTAAGGAGAGGTGGCTCTACAAGCACAGCTGTTTGACAAGGCTGGGAAGAGGTCAGCCCAAGAGAGAGGGGAAGAAAGGCAATGGCTTTGCCCTGAAATGAGGGGAGAGCTCAGAGCTACAAGGACCCGCAGCTAGCCAAAGGGAAGCCCTGCTACATGCTTTCCATAAAAACTTCCACTTCCCCCAACCATGCTGACTCCATCCAGTTCCCCCAGGAGCCCAGGGTCCTCATGGGGGTCACCTAGGGCTGGCAGAGCTCTTGTGCCTGGTTTGAAACAAACCCTCCATGGTTTTTCCATTTGTGTTTCACTGCTCCTGCCAAGCCCCTGCTTCCCTCTCCCTTTAAAGGCTCCATTTGCTTCTTTAAATGGGAGAAGAGGAATGCTGTGTTAATTATTCCCAGTATCTACCCTGTGTTTCTAGACATTTAGCTTGCCAACCTTATTTTTTTGGTCATGAACCATTCTGCAAAGCAAGAGGTATTGTGGCATCTCAAGCTCTTGCCTGGAAGCTGGAGGGGTGCGTGGCCCAGGCAGCATCCTCTGCAGCCACCATTCCCTGTTTTGTGCCAGGGTTTGCCAAGGCACTTGCCCTGCAGCTGCCTGGCCCTGCAGTGGCCCTTCCTTACCTGCAGAAAGTTCTCAGGAACCTGCTACAGGAGATTTAAAACTATTTCTCATCACTGTTGTCATATTCTTTCCTGAATTCTGTCCTGAACTTCAATGGCCAGTCCAGGGAAAGAGAGGAATGTTACAGTATTGCCCTAAAATTGGAAAAGGCATTGCCTGTCTTCAGTTATCTGATGTTCTCTTGTGATATTTAACCCTTACACAGAACTGGCAAGTAGACAGAGGTGAGTGCACGAGAAAACCCTACTGCATGCTTAAAAAAACCCAAACCCAAATCCAGTTTACTTATACCTACCCCTTACAGACCTCTTCTCCCCATTTTGGCTACCCCTGGTATTTCAGTGACCCAGAAAGCAATGCACAAGCCTTTGGCCTCTTCCTCAAGTTCAATTCACAGGGCTTTAGGGTACAAATCATCGATGAAATTTACAGTAGGACTGTTAAAAAACTGAAAATGCAAGTCACGTTCCAAGTCCTGTGCAGTTCTGGGTTCAAAAGCAAGGTATGATAACAGAAGAAGATGCATAGTACAGATCAACGTCTGGCTTTGAGGCTGGTGCCATTGAGGTTTTGGCTTTTATGACAATGGGGCATGCTTTAATGGTTGTAGCCCATTAGGAAGGGGTAAGATCCACCTGTCTAAAAAGGGCAATAGAATCTTTGGCAGCAGGCTGGCCAGTTCGGTAAGACAGGTTTTAAACTAAAGGACTCGGGTGGTGGGGATGATCAAAGCGCCATTGCTTCCTACTGGGGAATAGGATATACCAAAAGATGTTCCTTGACTGCCCCTCAACTTGGGAATCAAAGGGTTAACCACACTGAGGGTGTTTATGATTGTGGTCATGCCTCTTATTCCCCTTCTAGGGAACCGGGTTGCTTTATTAAACTACAGGTGAGGGGGGAGTGATATTGGGCTTATTCCTGGTAATTTGGGGGATGGTTTGAAAAGGTTAGAAGGAGAGGGTGCTAACTCTGCAGGTGATTCCAAGAGGTACTAGACACAGTGGAGTACACCTTCAGTCTTACAAAGGTGACACAGCTGATAGCCCAGCCCAGGTGCCTTTACACCAAAACCACAGCACGGGCAACAAACAGGAGCTGGAAGTCACTGTGCTGCTGAAAAGTTATGACCTTGTTGCCATTACTGAAACTTGGTGGAACAAATCCTGTGACTGGAGTGCGGATATTGATGGCTACGGGCTGTTCAGAAGAGACAGGAAGGGAAGGAGTGGAGAGGTTGCCCTCTACATGAAGAGGACTGACTGTGAAGAGCTGTCTGAAGAACAGCCATGAGCATGTTGAAAGCCTGTGGATAAAAATCAGAGACTGAGGCAACAAAGGGAACCTTGTGGTCCGAGTCTACAACAGGCTACTTGGTCAAGGGGAGCCTATTGACAAAGCCTTCCTGCTCCAAGTGCAGGAGGCATCGTGCTTGCAGGCTCTTCCTGCTGGGGGACTTCCACCACACGGACATCTGCTGGAAAAGTGGCATGGAAGCACCTGTCAGCCTCACTCTCTGTGCCTGGGAAGGTCATGGAACAGATCCTCCTAGAAGCTATGGTAAGACGTATGGAAGACAGGGAGGTGATTTGGACAGCCAGCACAGCTCCACAAGGGAAACTCCTGCCTGACCAAGCTCGTGACTTTCTATGATGGAGTGACAACATCAGTGGATAAGGGAAGGGCTACAGAAGTAATTTCTCTGGACTTCTGCAAAGCCTTTGACATGTTCCCCCTAACACCCTTCTCTCTAAACTCGAGAGAGATGGATTCGATGGGTGGACTCTTAGGTGGATTAGGAATTGGTTGGATGGTCACATCCAAAGGATAATGGTCAATGGTTCAGAGTCCCAACGGGCACCACTGACCAGTGGTGTCGCTCAGGGGTCCATAGTGGGACCAGGAGTTATTTAATATCTTCATTAGTGACACGGGGATCGAGTGCACCCTCAGCAAGTTTGCAGATGACACCAAGCTGAGCAGTGCAGTGACACACCTGAAGGACTGGATGACATCCAGAGGGATCTGGACAAGCTCAGAAAGTGGGCCCACCTGGGTGGGGAAAACCGCCAGTATCAATCCAGACTCTGGGATGAACAGATCGAGAGCACCCCAAGGACTTGGCTTTTTGGGCTGTGAGCTCACATTGCTGAGTCATGTCGAGCCTCTCATCCACCAGCACCCCCAAGTGGATCCTGGGATGCATCAGAAGCAGCCTGGGCAGCAGGTCGAGGGAGGAGGTTCTGCCCCCCTACTCTGCCCTGGTGAGACCCCACCTGCAGTGCTGCATCCAGCTCTGGGATCCCCAGCACGGGAAGGACATGGACCTGTTGGAGCAAGTCCAGGGGAGGGCCACCAACTTGATCAGAGGGATGGCGTACCTCTCCCATGAGGAAAATTGGGAGAGTTGGGATTGTTCAGCCTGGAAATGAGAAGGCTTCTGGGTGACCTAGCTGTGGCCTTCCGGTACCTGAAAGGAAAGATGGGGCAAGACTATTTACAAGAGCATGTAGTGACAGGACAAGAGGGAACAGGATTAAACTGAAAGACAGTAGGTTTAGATTAGATAAAAGGAAGAAATTCTTTACTGTGAGGGTGGTGAGGCATTGGCACAGGTTGCCCAAGGACATTGTGGGTGTCCCATTCCTAGAAGTTTTTAAGGCCAGGTTGAACGGGGCCTTGAGCAACCTGGTCTAGTGGAAGGTGTCCCTGCCCACAGCAGAGGGTTTGGAACCAGGTGATCTTCCACGTCCCCTTCCAACCAAAACCAACCTATGATTCTATGAAAAAAGGTCTCTTTCTCCTTCAAGAGGCATCAGCATCTCTTTTTTTCCCATCTCTTTCCATCCTTCTTGTCCTGACTTTGGGGCTTGCAGAGCCTAGACCAGGGAACACAGCACCAACGTCCTATGAGGGCAGCCCCTTTCCTGACACACGGGGCCTGCACACCACTTCAGTCTACAGCTTGTCACCTCCAGCCACAGCCAAGAACCAAAATTGCCCCTTTGTGTTCTGGCAGCTTCTTTGCCTGTTGTGAGCTCCCGCTTCAAAAGGTGCCTTCAAAGTCAGGCACACACAGCCCCAGCAGCCACCCTGGTCATTCTCCTCAGTGTGCCTGTGGCCTTTCTGCTGTTTCCCAGGGTTTAGTATTACAGTTCTGGGGGAAATTTTCTTGCACACCAGGAAGGCAGAGCTGTGATGCTGCAGGGCGGTCTGCTTTAAAAAGGGGAGGCCCTTTTTAGTATTCTGCTTCTCTCTGCCAGGACCTTCCCCAGAGGACCACAAGGTGAAGCTGCTGTGGGCAGCTGGGGGATACTCCAGGATCAGTCTGTGTCCTCCTGCTTTATGCTGCTGATCGGAACAGGAAGCCCTGTGTCTCCAAACTCTGCGTCTGAGGGGTCGATGGTTTCTTCTTTCACCTGCACGGCAATGACTAGCAAGAGACAGAAAAAGAGAGGGAAAAATAAGTAAATAAAATCAACCTCCAAACCAGCTCTATTCATGCAGATACTCAAAATGCCCCAGATTTCCAGCCCACTTCTTGAGGGTCCCTCACCACAGGCAGCCCTGTCATGCCAGTGCAAATTGATCCATGGTCACAGCACCACTCAGGACAGGACTAAACCCTGGCAGCATTCAGCTGCTGGCTCCCAAGAAAATCTTCTAAGGAACAAAAAGCTAGTGTGGTCCATTCTCTACCTGCCTGGGTTCACACAGGGGAAATTTAACTTCAGTGAACCAAAGGGATCTTCATGAGGCTCCATCCCATTGTACACAAGGCACCTCCCCCACCCTCCTCCCCAGCACCCACTAGGGTTGGTAGGTGACCCATCCACTCTTCTGGTCACCACAGCACAATGGGCTGTGTTCACATGCTGCAACAGCCCTTAGGGGGATTGGGACGTGACTGTCACCTTTGCCATAGTCACCTTCTCTCTCTTCCCTAACTGATCTCACACAACCAGACTGCTTAGTAGGGCAGCCAGGCCCCTCAGCAGACATCAAGATATCGAGCTGTACTGGTGCCACCAAACCTTCTCTGGAAGCAAGAAGTTTTTGCTTTTCCCAGGGAAGCATGGCAAACCCTTTCTTCCACTCCCTCTGTCTCTGGAGGAGCAGGGAAGGACATTTCACACACTGCTGCCGTTCCTTGCCGAGGGGCACCCATGACTTAATGGCCAAGAGGCAGCACAAGCCTCAGGAGGGTTGGTGGCATGCAGGGTGTACACAGGAGAACTGGATGTGGCTGCTGGGTAGAGTAACTCACTCCCTTACTCTCATCAGGTGCTGGCTCTGGCAAAGCCTGGCTGGCAGCTTTTGCTTCTCGTTTTGTATTCGAGGTGGAAGGCTTCTTGACAGTCTGCTTGATGCTGCGGGCTTTGGCAGGCAACTTTTTTCCTTAATAAAGAGATAACAGAGTATGGGGAAAAGTGTGTTTCTTTTCCCCTGTAACATCAGCAACCCTGCTCCACTGAGATACCACAGGCCAGGGACGAGCACAACTGAACAGGAAGCTACATGGTCATTAGCTGCCAACTGGTTACACGACAGAAATAGCCTTCTGGAGAAAAATCCTATTGTCATCATCTCAAAATATGCTCCTTCGTGTTCTCCTTCATTAAAGGCAAGGCACTTCAGTGTGTGCTTAAACTCCAAGGAGCAGGTCTTGTTGGAATCGGTGTGGAGTCAGCTTTGCTTACCTGTCTGGCTCTAGTCCTAGGCAATGAGCTTGTTGGTTGCAAGGTACGGACACCGTAACCGTAATGCTCTCATTTTTAGCTGACCCTTTTATTTAGGCTGAACGTCTTTATATTCTTTAGATGTCCTTTCCTCTCCACCCCCCAGGAAGGAGTTTCTTGTCTGTCTACATGATTTGCCACACCTACTGCAACAATGACAACAACAGTGACAAGATGAAACAATAAAATGGTCCAGCCCCATTACTGGCCTCTTCAGCCATCTTAAGGCCTTCTTTCCCTCAGCACAAAGCAGGCAGGGTTGCTCTCCAGCTACCCTGCAGCTGCAGCAAACATCTCCCACCAACCATGGACACAGTAGGGAAAGCAGCACAACCTCACACCTGGAAGCAAGTGCCACGTACACCTCAGTCAACAGAAAACAGACTACAAAACAGATCCTTCCCACACACAGCTCTCTGCTCTTTAGGTAACAGGGCAGGTGAGAAGGATGAAGCTGTGCTGGCAAACCCACAGCTGACTGAGGGCATCCACAGCAAGACAAGGCCTCTCTCTCCTGCTCTGATGGGACATGGACAGGGTTCCTCTAACTGGGCCCAGCCTGCGAGCGAGCCGGAGGGCACTAATCAAACATCACTCACTCTTCTTTCCATAGGGTTTCTTCTTCTTCTTGGGCACCTCCTTGGCCTTCACTGGAGTTGTGGGCTCTGTCATGGAGACGAGAGGGAAACGAAAGCCAAGTCCCATAACCAGTAGGTAACTGGGATGAAGTGACAAAAGCGAGAAACAAGATATACCCGTCCCCCCAAGCCAAAGACCTCTTCCCAAGTCAACCAGCTGAGGGGAAAGCAAGGCTCTAGCACAGATGCTGTCTGTGCTTCCAGGCGAGGGCCCAGGGCGGCAGGCTGGGGCAGCACAGGGGAGAGAGGCCCAGTACAGACTTGGCAGGGGCAGTAAAGAAACAAGATTCATAGTCTGGGACAAGAAGGAAAACACCTGCAAAGGTGAGGCAGTGGCCTCCCTGCGACAAGGGAAGGAATAAACTCTCGAGACGATGCTCTTACCTTTTACAGAGAGAGTCGGAGAGTTGATAAGAAAAGGGAGCATGGGCCAAACTCCCCCTGCTACCTGGCTAAGGGTATATATAGATACACTTTGTAAAAGGGAGCTGTGCAGAGACAGGACCACCTGGAACTCTACCCAACTTCATCAGGAGCAATTAATTGGTGTGCAGGTGGGGGAGCAGAGGGAAAACAGAGCCAATCTCAAATCTCAGGCTGTTTCCTCCCCACCAGACTCCTCCCTCTGCCAGCAGCTAGAATGTGGCAGCAGAGGAAGATTTATGGTAGCCAGTGTAAATCAAGGAGGTGAGATGCTCCTCCCTACTCGGCTCAAAAAAACAAAAGAGCCACTCGCAGAACAGGAGGAAGGAAACCTTTGTCTCTAGCGGTAAAAACCACAGTAAAATCTTCACTCACCTGGAACAACAGGTGGTTGAAGCTGGTAGCCTGTCAGCTCACACCACCCCACAGGATAAATGTCTGGAGACTCGCAGTCCACCCACTGGTCATACTCATTGTCCCAGCCATCGAAATGGATGCTAAGGAGACGCTGGACTACACGCTTCACCGTGGCCACGCAGATGAGCCGGGGCTCCATCAGGTCCACTGCCTCTACCTTCATGCCTGCCTTGAAGCCATGGTTTGGACAGTCCTGGGTGCATAAAAAATGAAAAAAGAAAACCCAAGGCCATTTTACCCAGTCCCAACCTGTATGTGACCATCAGCACATGAGAACAGGCCAGCCTCCAGCCTAAAGCAAGTAGACAGAGAACAAACCCACAGATCCCAAACCAGATCCAAGGCCAGCTATGGCCTTAGTCAATCTCAGTCCAGCCTTTAGAAGCAAGATCCTGACCTGGGGGAGCAGCAGACAGCAGTTAAGGGACACCTTATGATCAAACCCATCACCTGACATACCCCTGGGAAATCAGAGAAACCAGCACAGGCCTAAGTGCTTCAGCAGTTTTGCTGATGTAAAGCAGCCCCCACCTTCCACCCAATGTGCCAGTCAAACATCCATGGGCTGTGCAGAACCCACCAGGAGCCTGGAGCTCACAGAAACACTAGAAAATCACAGCTCACACTCAGAGGGACCAAGACATCATTCCACCCACAGAGGCAGGACACTGATGTCCCAGCCAGCAAAACAGGGCCTTTACTTGGAGTTAACATACTCCCAGGCCTTGAGCTCTCCTTAGAAGTGCTGACTGGCAGCAAATTACAGCCCAGCAGAGACACTGGGTATTGTCTAGCCTGACTTCAGGATGGCTTTTGACACTGCCAACATAAGATCCTCATAGAGAAGAGGATTGAAGTATACAGGCTGGGTGAGGATAGACTGAAATAGATTGAAAACAGGCTGAGTGGCTGGGCCCAGAGGATGGTTATTAGTGGCAGGAATCTAGTTGGAGGCCAGTAAGTTAGTGGTGTACCCCAGGCGTCAATACTGGATCCAATCCTATTCAACATCTTCATTAATTTTTTGGATGACATGACAGTATCATGTCAAACCAAGCACTTTTGATAGAAAACTGGGAGATCAAATATACTGGAGGGTTGTGCTGCCATCCAGAGGCACCTTGACAAGCTGGACAAATGGTAAAGTCCTGCACCTGTGGAGAAAGAACTCCAGGCACCAGCACATACTCGGGGCAGAGTGACTGGAGACCAGTTTAGCAGAACAGGGCCTGGGAATCCCAGTGGACATCAAGTTTAGTATGAGCCAGGAATGTGCCCTTGGGACAAAGAAAGCTAATGGTAACCTGGGCTGTATTACAAGGAATGTTCCCAGCACATCAGCAGAGGTGATCCTTCCCCTCTGCTCAGCACTGACAAGGCCACACCTGGAATGCTGGCTCTAGCTCTGAGTTCCCCAAAACAAGAGAGACATGGACACACTGGAGCCCAGCAAAGGGCCAGGAAGATGAGAAGGGGACTAGAACATCTTTTGTATGAGGAAAAGCTGAGAGTTGTGAGTGTTCAGCCTGGAGAAGAGAAGGCTCAGGAGGATCTTATTAATGTGTATAAATGCCTGAAGTGAGGGTGCAAAGATGGAACCAGACTCCTCTCAGTGGTGCCCAGTGCCAGGACCAGAGTCAGTGGGCACAAACTGAAACACAAGAGAGACCTTTTACTATGAGGGCACCTGAGCACTGGCAGAGAGGTTGTGGAGTCTCCATCCATGGAGATATTCAAAAGTCATCTGGACGTGGTCCTGGGCAACCTACTACACGTAACCCTGCCATAGCAGGGGTGCTGGACAAGAAGAACATTCCACCTAAGTGATTCTGTGACAGCTGGAGCTCTTGTGCTCCTCCTTGCTGACTCCAAGCATCCCTACAAATCTCTTCTTCCTGGCAGCACTTACTGTGTTGAAGAGCCGTGATGGAGCAGGTCTTGATTTAGTCTCTTCCAGGTACCTTTCCCAGCTGAAGGTCTTTGCATCTTGCCCTGCAGCAGGAAGAAATGCTAAGAGGTAAAAAGGCAGTCACTGGGTCGACCAGTTGGGGGAAAAGGCAGAATAGGCAGGAAGGAGGCATAGCACCTGTTTTTGCAAAGCAGTTTCATGAACCAGCACGTACAGCCTGATCTTGGACATGAACCTAGAGCACAGGTTCCATGGAGTCCAGCACCCCTCCCCCATGGGCAAATACAGAAAAGTGCAAGCTACAGCTCTGAACATCTGTGTCAGCCATAGATCCAGACCACAGAGAAAGGTGAGGAGCAGCAGCAGGTAGGAAGAAGTATGTTCAAAACTAAGACCAATCTTTCTCCCACCAGTGGGAACAAAGGAAGACAGAACAACACTGCACAGAAGTGCTGCAACACAGAAATTCAGAGCAGGCCTTTTTGTGTATTGCTAGATGAGGCAGCAAAACCACTCCTAGGGTGACTGCCTTTTATGAGTTTGCAGAAACGCTGGTCTCAGATTTATTCATAGAAAGAAGAATAGAGACGACTCCTGACACTGAAGGACTGACTCATGTAGCAATGGCTCTTCTTATCCCTTCCCATCCCCCTTCTACTTTATATCTTCCATTCTGTTCAGTTTGGGGATTGTACACCTCTCCCACTGAACGGCTAACCAAAATTCGGCATATGGGCAGAGCTCGAGTGGCCTGGCTCTCTGACCTAGCCCTATCTCTCCAAAAAAGAAGCAGATTGGGACCTTCTGGTTTTGATTCATTTGAACTTGATCCTCTCAGAAAAGCACTGCCCAGCAGGTTCTGCATGCAGGCTTGTACTGCATGAGTCCAAATCTCACCTTTTGGAGGGGTCAGGTCGATGTTGTTCCTCTTACAGAAGTTGACAGGGAAGATGGCGTGTGAGGAGGCATGATAGCAGAACCAGTCGGAGCCATCAGCAGACATGGCTCCATCAATGCTGATCATGAGATACCCATCCAGGAGGACCTGAGATGGGAGGGAAGGCTATGAGTACAGAGCTTTGCTCAATCTCAAAGGATTCTCCCAAGAATCCCCACAGATCAATCCCAATTGTCACTAGACAGTAAAATGCAATATTACATGCTCCAGGGCATGCAGTAGCCTCTCCTGATCAACACAAGCTGATCCCCAAAGCAGCAATTTCTGCAGGACTGGGACCAACAGTAATAGCCTTGTGAAAGAACTATATGAAAAGCCATAAATGGTCAGGAGCTCTGTTCTCCCTCAGAAACACTTTACTGGCAGCCCAGAAATCCTCTACACCAGCCAGATCATGAATTTGTTACTGGGCAGAAGGGAAAGACACCACCCTTGGAGTTGCCACTTCCTACAGCAACAAGTCTTGTCCCATCCTGTCACTCACTGGTAATCGGTGCCTACCCAATGTAATAGGCATGCCTGCCCCATCCTCTTCCATTGCCAAGCAATGGCTGAAGGGAACATTTTACAGACAAAGACCTCTTCTACCATCCTCCTGCCAAACTCCAAGTCTCAAAGTCCTCGGTTTGGACTCTATGAGGGCAAACAACTTCTTGAGAAAGCAGGAAAAGCCCAAGTTGATGCTATACCTTAGGACGTACAACATACCTCACTGAGGAAATCTGGGCGAGCAATTTACTTCCCCCACACTAGCACAAGAGTAGAACTTACTACTACCTCATCAAGAGAGACTGAAGGAAACACGTCCATCCTCAGCTTCCTATACCACTGAATGCTGCCCATACAGAGACTCACCATTCCCCACAAAGAGGTCACCTCACAACTCTTGCCTTCTCCTTTCCACAAAGGCCTCTCTTTCCACGCTCTCAGAACCAGAGAACAAATCCTCCTTGCATGCCCAAGGGTGGCAAACGGGTGGCTGCCAGTCACACACACACCGCACAGCTGGCTTGCAGACCAAGCGTGCTCATCCAGTGAGGCACACGTGGACAACTGCCAGTCTTAATCAGTTTCTCAGACCTCTGAGGTAACACCCCAGTTCCCTCCACACACCAGCTGTCTACCTCTCTCAACAGCCCTCTCCTCTCCCTCATGCAAAATCCTGCCCAGTCTTATTAATTTGAAAAGACCTGAGGAGAAGATGGACTATCTCAGGTAAACACAGCAGACCCCCCACTTAACACCCACTGAACTTACCTTGCAAACAGTGGCCACACAAATGTTGCCCAGATTCAGAGGGTCAATAGCTTCCAGTTTCATGCCTTCCTCAAACCATCCACCTTCAGAATAGACAGCTCGTACCTAAGGAAGACTCTGGTGTACCATGTGCTGCCAGGTATGGGACAGTCCCATCCTGACACCAAGCACAGCAAGTGCAAATAGAATTATTAGAGCCTCTTCACTTGGCTCAACTCAAGTTGGGAAGAGAAAGAAGAAATATTACAAGAAATACAAAGCAACACAAACCAATACTGTGTTTGTGTCAGCAACCTCCTGCCAAGGCTCTGGTCAGTCAGAGAGCCAGGCCCAGCGTTCAGCTGCTGCTCCACAGCAAAGCAAGCCCCCTCCTCACCTCAGGCCCTACCAGCATGATCCAGCTCTTTGTTGGAACTGGTCTCTCTCATGCTATCATCTTCCCTCTCCAACTCAAAGCTCCAAGCAACTACTTGTCCTACAAGTTGAGTCCCTCAATCTGTAGTTGTCTTTTAGTTCTTCCAACTTTCTATTTTGGCCTGCCCCTGCCCAACCACAGCCTTGACACCCCAAACACCTTACTGCCCTTAACTGTAAGAGACAAATGAGCCACCCTCAACAACCCACACAGCAGCATGTACACCCAAGGAAGGAAGTGGTATCACCCTTTCCTTTGCTGTAACCCACAGGGAAAAGCAGACTTGTCCTACCTTCTTAAAGAGATAGGGGACGGCGTCACAGTAAATCTTCCGGAAGGTGGGATGGTTTGCCATGTCATTGCGCTTTTCTTCTGGGAGGAATGGAAGAGACAAAGGTAAAAAAACCTGCAGCAACTGCAGTAAGAAAACATATTGGTTATTCATTTCCTGGAGAGAGCTTAGCTGCTATTAACACCCTGGATAAGAGACCATGTAATAGAAAGAACAAGTCAGTTCCTCTACACCTTCTCATAAAACAGGCTGTGATGCAGGACTTGCTCAATAGCAGGTGGCTTTGGTAAAGTCCAGAAAAACACAACCTGATGGCATCCAGTGTTACAGGAGACAGCGTGAATTTCCTCAAAAAGACTATAAGCATCTGTGATGTTGCAAAGTCTGCATTCTCATACTGAGGAGATAGACTACCTGCTTCAAGTGAGAAACCCTACAATACCCTGTCCTGACCAGTGGTAGCAGATCACAGGGCTTTTATCCATCCAGGGGAAAAGCAGCAGACCCAAAACCAAGCAGACTTTATCCATCAGGTCCTGAGGCAACTGTCTGACTCCCAGAATGCCCAGCCTGGTGTCAACAGCAGGGTCTGGACAGTTCACAGCATGTCAGAAGATGCTTTGTAGTGGCCCAATCTTTACCTGTCTTCTTTATGTCGTGGCCCACTCTCCGTGACCAGCCCACGGGATGGATGAGAGGACTCCACATGTGGCACCAGAAGTCATCGTCGCTGTCACCGTCCTCATAGAGGAGTCTCAGTCTGCCCCCAATCACTGTGTCCACCACTGCCATGCGTGTCTGGGACACATGGTTCTTATCCACCACCTCGACCCGCATGCCCTGCCGGAACGGGTACTTCATGCTCTCTGCCATCTGGCAACAACCAACAGAGGAGGTGAGGTCAATCACACTTGGTGTATTCCTTCTCCAAACACTTCAGAGAACAGCATTCCCCACAGACATTCTGGCCAAACCCCGGCACTGCCCAAAGCTGACTGGGAAGGGATGTGTGGGAGTGGGCTCATCAGGGGGACAGGGAGCTGCCAGCCCCAGCCATGACAGCACGGTTGGGCACACACACTCTAAGTCTCCCTTGTCATGTGGCCTCATGACAGCCACCCCCGCCCCAGCCCAGCAGCTACACCCAGCCAGCACCTTGTGTGAACATTTCTAGTGTGAACTGCTGTTCACCAGGAACTGAGTGAGGAATTGTGTGCCCTTCTGAGTCACAGGAGACCACAAGGGTTTCACAGCTGGAAGCAGCTAGAGGTGTAGCTTCCCAAAGGGCAAAAGAATTTTCAGTTCACTTTAAGAGAGAGGTCAGGTTCTTATTTTCCCCTTTTTACTCTGATCAGAGGCTGAGTTACATGATGATCTATCTTTCAACTCAACATCCAAAGCCAGAATTACTCTGCAGACTGATCCAAAGACACAGGCATAGGGAAAGAGTCACTGGCTGCCTTCTAACTGATTTTTTGGAGACCTTCTGTTTGCTGATACAGCCTAGTCCTATTCACCCTCAAATGCCCAAAGGTGTTTATAGAACATCTGACATTTTGGAACTGTGATCCTGAATGCTGTACAGCAACTAGGAACGACAAAACAGACTCAGACACCCAAACCAGCCTACACCCAAACCCAGAACTTTTAAGCTAAGGACTTCCCCTTCCACCTCCTGTTCATTAGGTGGGAGTGGAGATGTTGAGGGGAGAAAGATACTATCCATGTTTGTTTCCCTCTGCCACTTCCCTTCCAGCTACAAGCTGTGGCTCAGGAACAAGCAGCTACAAACACCCTCTTAACTTTCTGAGAAGCAATGTGGGAAACACCAACTACATCAAGGTCTCCAGCTCAGTGTCATTAATTGCCTTGCACACAGAAAAACCCATCACCTGCTTTCCTGCCTGCTGTCTCTGGGACCATCTTCCTTATCTGTCATTTCCAAAGCTGCCAGCCACAAAAGAGCCTCTTCTCTCTGACAAGGTCTAATCTCAGTGCAGGCTACATGAAAACAACCACGAGAACTAAAAAAGTTCCCAAGGCTACAACACTTCGAGGAAGCCTGTGCCTCTCTCACTCCCTCCATGCTGCTCTGTTTACCAACACTGAAGGCAAAGGTTGTTGACTCTCTGGCACTGAAACAGGATGGGGAAAGGCCAGGTTGCAGCTGCACCAGCCTCTCCTTTCAGCAAAATGCCAAACCTCACTCCCCGTATTTCCCAGCAGACAACAGCTTTTAAAGCCCACCTATGACCCAAAGGAAAAACTGTTGTGCTGACAGGGCATGAAGGCTGTGCCACTACCCACAGCATCATGACAGATACCTTAGGAGCATGGGGAACCACTCACTGTCCCTGCCCTGAGGTGTCCAGGCACACAGAAGTTGCACAGATCAGAACAGAAGAGATATGTTGAGCACACATCTCTTGGCTTCAGCTTCATTTCCCCATGCAAAATGACAGCCTCCCACATTTACCTTCATGTGGAAATCCACTGGGATGGTCCTGGCTCCAACCAGTTTTTTCATGAGGTAACTTCTCCAGTCAGTGTACTTGGCATGGATAGCTACATACACACAGGGAAAAAGCACATCTTTATGACTGAAATAATTACAGCACCACCCTACAGTTTTCCATCTCTGCAAGAACCTATTTGCATTAAAGGGCTTTATTCACATTCAGATTCTGTACTCTCATTCTGCCAGCTTGCCCCCTCAACAGGCTGCAAGGGATCACCATTACAGAATGGACTGGACCAAGCAGACACTCAACTCCACTGATCTAGCTGCGGAAGTGGTAGAAGAACAAAAGCATATGAGCCACACAAAGCAAATCTCAGCTTGCTGGAATTCTGCTAAACTGGCACCCCTCTCTGAACCGCTAGCTGAGCAAGGACTGGAGCCACTGTGCTTCTCAGAAACACTGTCCAGGATGTAAGGTTAAGTCCAGGATGTAAGGTTAAATCCAGGATGTAAGGTTAAATCCAGCCACCATGTGGAGTAGAAGGAGGAACAGCCACCTGCATTAGTCTCCACAGGTCTGACATCAGCTCTGCATCCAGCACACCCAGGGCTGACCACAGGGAGGTGCAGAGGGAGCAGTCCAAGCAGTCTCCGGCTTCCCAAAGAACACATTGTTGTTTGTAACTCAAAGCACAAATGCAGCTGTGCTCCTACATGCAGTGGGAGCACCTGTCCTCCTGTGCTAGGCATAAACCAAGGCTACTCCACGCCCAGGAACATCCTGATCCCTCTTGCCCCACACTCACTTTGTGGTGGTACCAGGATTTTGCTGTTGATGGCACACCAGCCAATAGGGTGAATATCCACTGTGCCCAAATTGCACCAGAAGTCATGGCCAGCATCATTCTCAAAGCCCTCATATCGCAGAAGGGCCCTGTATCCTGCCAGGACAGAGCAGACAACCAGACAAAGGCATTAGAGGCCAAGAGTTTGGCACCACAAGCTTAGTACCTACAGCAGGGCCTTCAGAGCTCTGCACAGATTATCAGAACTTCTCCAGACATTCTGGAGGCAGAACTATTCCTGCAAATTGCCCAGCAACCCAAAGAGGAAACACATGCTGGTTTCCTCTCACTCCCGCACCCTGGTATTTCCTGTCCCAAAATCTCTCAGCAGCCGTAGATCTCCAAAGAGGTGCTGTTTTGCTTGACCAGCTACACTCAGCTCTCTAAAGCTTCCCTCAGAGGTTAGCCATCCCCATCTGTCAGGAATTACATCAGACACATACCCACGATCTGCATGACAGATGCGATCCAGTACACGCGGCTGGGGAGCACAGCATCGTTGTTCAACACTTCCACTTTCATACCCTTCACCACATCGTCCCACTGATCGAAGAGCGGCACCTGAAAGATTGAGGCAACCACACTGGGAGAGGGATGTGGACAATGAGAGCAGGGCTCAGGCCCTCCCTCTAGCTTTCAGAGACATCTGAGACATTTCTTAGGCAGCTACACTTTCACCCTAGGTACAGGCTTACATCTACCAACACCTCGATATGCAACTGAATTGTCCCTGACATCACACAGGGATGATCACTGAGGATCCCAAAAGGCAGAACATCATACAGCAACGCTTAACTATTTCACTGCCAGCTGTCCTACTATCCCAAAGAAGCTGCTGCCAATTTTCTATGGCATATATATACTGGCACATATATTGGAGGTTGTAGCCAGGTGGATACCAGTCTTCCTCTTCTCCCAGGTTACTGGCAATAGGACAAGAGGACACAGCCTTATGCTGCATCAGGGGAGGTTTAGATTAGACATTAGAAAGAAGTTCTTCACAGAGAGTGACTGGACATTGGAATGGGCTGCCCAATGGAGTCACCATTCCTGAAGGTGTTTAAGAAAAGACTGCATGTGGCACTGAGTGCCACGGTCTAGTAGACAAGGTGGTATTGGGTCAAAGGACTCATGTCTCCAAAGTCATTGGACTTGATAATCTCAGAGGTCTTTTCCAACCTTTGATTCTGTGATATAAATACCTAACAATCAATAAAATCGCTGTGTCTGCCTGACCTATCCTAAAGAAAACGTGGTCAGTATTATGACAGATCGCAGCTCAAAAGGAGCATAACAAATGAGTGTTACTAGAATCAGACATGCTGGAGGGGCAGCTATAGCCAGGCTCACGTAAGCTGTATTCCTGCCTGAGGTCCATGCACACGACATGCCCCACGTGCACTGTGATGCACAGCGAAGCAGAACTCACGTGTTTGAAGCAACTGACAGGTGCTGCCTTGTAGCCGTGCTCCTGCAGGTACTTTCCCCAGTCAAAGCCCAGGACGAGTGCTACAAGCAGACACGAGAGCAGAAAATGAGGTGAGATCACAGAAAAGGCACAGAATGCTCAGTTACTTCTGGAATACAGCCTGCAGCCTCCAGGCACCAGGACACTCTGCCCCAGCACTCTGCATTCCAGTGTGTTTTCCCTGGTGGGAAACTAGATGCTATGAGTGCATGGTCACCAGCCCCTGAAAGAGCTAAAATATATTATTAATTAATCTTTACTGTCACTTGCTCCTGGGGAAGGGGGAGCAGAAGGGGCAATAAAAGGATCCGAGTCCAGCCCAGGGCTCAAGCACTCCAGGGACAGTGCATCCTTTCAGTGCTAAACCACTTTGCAGCTTTGCCTCTCAGCAGCAGCACTGCAGGCTCACATCAGCAGCACTTGCTTCCCCAGAGGGTGCTGGGAAAATCAGAGTAAAGCACTGAGATATTAATCCTACAGTCACTTCTGATCCAAGGCTACAGCTCTGCTCCATCACTCCCTGCTGCTGCCATGCCCTGGGGCTCACCTTTTCCCTAACACAGTAACCTGCTGCTCCTTCAGCTGCAGTGACTGGTTGTCGTTCAAGTTAATCAGTGAGTGACTCAGGGGAAATGTAACTCCCACAAGCAGTGGGGCAGCAAATGGCTGAGAGCAGCAGGACACCTTTAAGTCACCTTTGCCAGTAGAAGTCAGCACCTCGTGGGACTGGGACTACAGAGCTTACACTCCAGGTTGAGCCATGAGGAGTGAGGATGAGGTTACAATAATGGATGGGCAGGAACCCACCAAGGGCTCCATCAGCACTGGCAGGGAGGGGAAAAGAGGCATGCCCTGTGTCCTGGCAGCCTGTGGCAGAGCAATCCACACATCATATCAGTACAAGTCAGTGCACCAGAGAGGAGGAGGAGGAGGACTGCAGAGCTTATAGCTCTCACGCTGTCCCTATTTCTGTGGTCCCAACAGCTGCACCTCCTCACACCTCACCTACACTCACCATCCTGACCTGTCAGTGTCCCATCTGCCAGCTGTCCTGTTCCCTGTGAATGGAGGAAGGCCCCAATCTTGGCCGACCAGGATGCCTTGTGCAGAACTTTAGCTTTCTTTGTTGGTGGTTTCCCCTACAAAAGAAGGAACATTAGGAACATTAGTTACACAGGAGAGGAAGCCACCCTTTGGAAGCAACTGGCCAGCTGGGCATGCATCTCTTCCTTGGGCCAATTTTCAAGTTACTACAATATTTACTAACGCTCACAGGGACAAGAAGAAACAGCGTGTAAAAGACCAATGTGTCCTTCCTCGGCTTTTAGGGAGCACAATCTTTCAGTTGGCATATATTCTCTGGGGACTTCAGGCAGGAAGAACACGGACAGGAATGTCAGTCTGATCTTTAATTAGAGAGCAACCACCCATCCCTGCATACAGGCAAATCCTGCTCCATCCCCAGGAAAGATCAATCACAGAATGGTTTCGGCTGGAAGGAGACTCTGAAGATCATCTAGTTCTAACCCCCCTTCCATGGGGAGGGACACCTTCAACTAGGTGCTCAGAGTCCCATCCAACCTGGCTGTGAACACCTCCAGGGATGGGGCATCCACAGTGTCCCTGGGAACCTGTTCTGGTGCCTCACCACCCTCACAGCAAAGAATTCTTTCCTAATATCTAATCTAAGCCTACTCCCTTTCAGTTTGAACCCATTCCCTCTTGCCCTGTCACTACATGTTCTTGTAAACAGTCTTGCCCCATCTTTCCTCTAAGTTCCTTTCAGGTACTGGAAGGCTGCAATTAGGTCGCCTCTTTTCCAGGCTGAACAATCCCAGCTCTCTCCCAATTTTTCTCATAGGAGAGGTGCTCCGTCCCTCTGATCAACTTGGTGGTCCTCCCCTGGACTTGCCAGCTCTGTTCTGCTCCCTTGTCCAAGAGGGCAGTCTCCCAGGGGATCCCACTGACAATCTCCCTGAAGAGCTGGAAGTCTGCCTCCCTAAAGTTAAGGAGCCTGACTCTACTCCTTACCTGACCTATATTCCTCAAGACTGCAAACTCCACCAATGCATGCATGATCACTGCAGCCCAGGCTGCCTCCGATCTCAACATCCCCAATTTGCTCACTTACACTGATGATCATCAAATCTAGTATTGTGTTCCCTCTGGTAGAGCTGTCTATCACCTGGCTTAAGAAGCATTCCAGAAGTCTCCTGGGTTGCCTACAGCTTGCTGTGCTACTTTTCCAGCAGATGTTGGGTTGGCTGAAGTCCCCCAGCAGGACAAGAGCCTGTGAGCAAGATGGAGCCTGCGAGCAGGATGGAAGGGTTTTAACTCACCTGCAGTCTGGCCAGGATGCTGGCCTTCTTGGAATTTGAGGAGTAGCTTCTGGAGCAGGAGACGCTGCAGAAACGTTTGGTTTTGGAGAAGAAAGCTTCCCTGGTGCCCACAATCCCACACATCTCACACACAGCTGAGAGAAGGAAGGGACAAAAACATGAGCATTTGGCAGGGTCACTGCACTTCAAGGACAGAGCTGAGAGAGGTTAACCCTCATTACACACAGCACCTCTCCCACATAGCCCAGAAAATGCAGTCTGAATCCAAAGCTGCTCCCAAAGCATCCCCAAGGTGCAGTCATACACCCTTCAGTGCCCCCACCCTTTGCTCCTTCCATCCTGCACATGTTTTAGGCAGAAGAGGCAGTACCTGGCTCGGAGCCACTGTCTTCCATGAGCCGGCCTGTGGATGGCTGGTGCATAGGAGAGGTCGAAAGCTCTCCAGCTTCCTTGTCTGCCACCTCATCGTCACTAGACTCCTCCAGACAGGAGCTGCTGTCACTGCCCATGCTGCTGTTGTAGCATGTGAGGCTGTCATAACCCCCAAAGATGTCCAGTTCATCATCCTCCTCATCGTCATCGCCTTCCTCCTCCACCCGCTCCAAAGACGAAGTTTTGTGGCAGAAGGCAGACACCAACTGCAAAAAGAGCCAGTCAGAAATGACATTTGACACCCCACTGCACAATAACTCTGCCTTTGCTGCCGGGGGAGGGGGTCCTTTGGGCCAGGGAGAGGCCTCAGGGAGAGCAATGAGTGCACACAACAACCCCAAAAGGAAGGAGTCTGAATTCCTAGTAGGAAAGCTATTAACCCCACAACAGGTACATGTACTGGTATTCCACAGGCTGCATTCTGCTTCCCAAGAGGAAAGTGCCACAGAGCTGCAGCTAGATCAAAAGCAGCTTGAGGAACATGGAAAAAGTGCAGAGAACTACACTGCCATGCTGATGAAGGGCAGATCAGACTGTGTCCTTCCAGCAAATGTTTCTCCCAACACAGTTGCACAGCACAGCAGTGCAGGCACCATCAGCAATAAAGTCCCACGGCTTTCTAGAGCAGAGCAGAAAGCTGCTCTGGCCACCACAGCTCACTAGACCAGCACAGCCTGGAAGTCAGCAGGGCAAACTCGGCTCTGGAGACAGTTCATGTCCTTTGGAAGCTGCACAGTGTACAGCATGCCTTGGTTCAGAAATGGTACCACTGGGATGGCAGAACTTACAGCAGTCTGTTGTAAGTTTATGCCTACACCCAGATGCCTCCACAGCTAAACATCTTCACTAGCTCTTCATACTTGCTGTTACAGCAGCAGAGCTGCGAGGCAGAGACTGAAGAAAGAGCACAGAAACCCAGTGACTGTGTCTCAGAACAGGAGAATCTGGAACTAAGCTCCAAATAAGCATAAAAGCAGCTGGGAAAAGCTGTTAGCAACTCAGGGAGGAGCAGCAAGAAGTTAGCACCAGCACAGGGAGTGATGGAACAGAAAGGCAGAGTCCCACAGCTACATGAGGCACCAGGATATAGTTGTTCATCCAAGCGGGCAACAACAAGAGATCAGCAGCAAGTCCATCACCTTCCAGTGCTAAATTCCCTCTGATCCCCGGCTCCGGGTTATCATTAGAGACACATGGACGGGAAGACCAGATTTCACTTAATGCTGACTCCCCACATCCTCCCTGGCTTTCCCACAAGATAGACCCAAGGTTCCCCGCTGCTCCCTGAACAGAACTGCTCTCCCGCGGATCCACGCCCTCAGACAACATTCTCGACGTTTGAAAGGCACGAACTTCTCAAAAAAACCCCATTTTTATCGCCTTACGGTCCCTGTGTGGGCGTGCACCTCCCACCAGCTCGCAGGACGAGAGCGTCTTTGGATCGCTGCTCTTCCACCACACGCGAACGAGCCTTCCGGACACTTCACGACTTGCCCTCCTCCAACGCAAGGGCAGCACCATCCGGCGCCTCCTCAGGGAGGCCAGGCGGACGAAGGGGCCCGTCCCGCCGGGGTTAGACCGACCCACCGCCGCCTTCAGCACCAGCATCGGCCGAGACCGAGGCCGAGGCCGAGGCCGAGGCTGAGGCTGAGGCCGAGGCTGAGGCCAAGCCCGTCCCGTCCCGTCCCGTCCCGTCCCGCCGCTCACCTCCGCCCGGTCCCGCTCCATGGCTCCCGGCACGCCACAACCCGCCTCACGCGCGCCCAGCGGGCACCCCCTCGGCTGCGCGTCTGATTGGCGGCAGCCGCGGAAAGGACAGCAAATCGGCGGAGAGCTTATTCCCGCCGCGCTGCCCGCGGGGCACGACGGGAGCCGTAGTTCCTTTCCCGCGGCCACGGCTTCCCCACGGCTGGCTGACAAAGGGTCCTCACGTCCCGTGCTTCTCCTTTTAGCCACCTCCATCGCCACTGTTTGGGGAAATATGGAATATTAGGACGTGTTGCCACGAATCCAGGGATAGCCCATTCCCTGCTGTTCTGTGGAGTCACTGCTTTAAGAAACAAATCAGAGACCTTATTTAAGAACTTAACATGAAATTTTAACTATCATATGATTTGATTGACATTCTTGGCAAGAATTAATCTCTCTCAGTACGCTTTCTTGTTTTCCCTCAAATAGTCCTCAGCTATTCTTGTATCTTTACCTTCTGTCAGCAGCTGGCAGGGCTGGTTTTGTGTCATCTGCTGCCTCCCCGGCTCCGGCGCTTCCCATAAGTCTGGGTCAACACTCTCGTCCCCAGAACCATGGCATGGTTTAAGTTGGAAGGGACCTTGAAAGTCATCTAGTGCCGACCCCTTTGCTGTGAGCAGGGACACCTTCCATTAGATGAGGCTGCTCAGAGCCCTGTCTCCAGCCCAGCCTTGAGCACTTCCAGGGATGGGAAGTCCACAGCTCCTCTGGGCAACCTGTGCCAGTGCCAGTGCCTCACCAACCTCACAGCAAAGAATGTCTTCCTAATGTCTAACCTAAACCTGCCCTCTTTCAGTTTAAAACCACTGCCCCTTGTCCTGTCACTATCTGCCTGTATAAAAAGTCCCTCTCCCCACTTTTTATAAGCTGCTTTCGGGTACTTGAAAGGCTGAAGTGAGATCTCCCTGACACTTTCACTTCCCCAGGCTGATCAACCCCAGCTCTCTCAGCCTTTCAAAAAGCTTATGTAACAACATTACAACCGATAAAACACTCCAACAACACCCCAAACTTCAGCCCCGCAGACAGATCTGATGCCCAGTCACCATCAGCGTGGGGGTCCCTGAAAGTGAAAACAGAGAAATAGGAAAACATGAAATAAGAAAAATGAAACTATGAAAAATGAAAATATGAAAGCATAGCCAAGAAGCAAGTGTCTCAGTGTATGTCCCTGGCATTGATTTTCTTTTACTCAAAAGGTAAGTCCCCTGGAGTTAGTTCTATTTCCCTTTTATTTTGTTATCTCTGTCATTTTGTTGACATTGTAAAAAGAATAAAGAAAAAATAAAGGCCTTACTGAACATTCCTATTCTGTATAGACTTTGTAGTGAGTAGCTGAACAAATAACATGTGAAGCACATGTTCCTCTCTCGTGCCTACTGTACAGCCTTAGCTGCAGGTGAAGGTAAAGCAGCATGGGAAATGTTCATTCCCAAAGCTTAACCTTACTGTTACACGGCAAATGGCTTTTAAAATATTTAAATAATGGAGTTAATAATGAAATCAGTTATAAAAGGCTGTTATTCTTTTGCAAATACTGCTAGACAGTGCACTGCATGGCAGACCAGAAAGCTGTTTCCAGAAAAGACACAGATACAAAATTAAAAGTTCATTAAGTCTTTCTACTGCAATAATCTTTCATGGAACACATTGTGAGGTACAGCTGCTGTGCACCCCCTGCTCCTTTCCCAGAGCAGAACAAGCACCACTGCTCTTTAGGTCACAAACAGGCTGGTTCAAGGTTTCTTGAAGGCTTGGGAGAAATGAGTTCTGTGTTGACACAGAACAGACTTAAAGGCAGTCCCCATCTTAGGGCTGTTCATTTGTCATTAGAGTTCAAAGTAAGCCTTTTCAATAGGTAATAGTATTTAAATAAATTAATTTTAATGGGAATCAAATTCAGTTTGATTCAGGAATACTTATTCTCTTAAATAATAAAATCTCTTATGTAACATGAATTGTAATATCTTTGCAAAGACAGTTCCTTTCTTTAGGGAGAGAACACCACCAACAATCTCAAGAAACTAAACCCCAAAACTTAGATTAGACTTCACTTTTCCTATCATCTCCTTCCCCATTACTGCGCTGGGCTCGGTCCCTGTTTTGTTGCCATCTGCAATAAAAATTTTAGAAAGATCAGTACAAAAAGGCTGCTGTCGGGTGAAACCACAGAACGAGTCCAAGACGCAGTGGGAGAGAAAGATTCCTCGCTTTTCCAGGCCAGCAGAAGCTCTGCACTTTCAGCCAGAGGAGCAGGGATGGCAAAGAGCTTTCTTCTGAAAATGCCACTGTCACTGCCTTCCAATTCCTGCCATTTCCCTGGGGACTGCTGGGGCATGGAGAGGAGCAAAACACCCAGTAACAGATCTTGTGGTTGCATCCCACACAGCTCTGTGCTCCCAAGATATGCCAGAGCCTGTCACCACCCAGCACACCTGGGGATAACAACAACCTGAGCCATGCCAACTTCACCAGGAGCAAGAAGGGCTTCAAAGATGGCTGTGGGAGATGGTGCCAAGGGTAATTTCTCCACCCTCCCCAAATCCACCACACTCCCTACAACAGGCAGAATAGACTGGAGCCCTGGCTGATTGCTCATGGCTACCCACAGCACCAGTCACAGAACAGGCTTCCCTTTCAAGCTCACAGGATCCCTGCTGGGGAGTTATAACCAAGACCCTGTTCTAAGGGAGCACAAGTGAGGCAAGTCCAGCAAATCCTGACAACATTTCTAAACAAAACGCCAGATCACAGTCGGGCAGGCAGATGCCAATGCACACACCACGCCTGCAGGGCTGACGGAGCAGCTCGGCGCCTTTCCAGCCATGATGCAGGCACAGAGGCTGCTGCAGCCCCGTGGATGGAGCCTGTTGTGCTCTCTCACTTTCAGGGGCTGGGCTAGGCTCGGTCTCAGGCCGGGATCTACGGCACATAATCTGCTTTGACAAGCTGAGGTAGGAAATGACTCCTTGTGCAAGCTGACAGGGTGGTGTTGTACAAGGCAGCTGCTGAAAGGCTTTATAAAAACAAACATTCCCCAGCCAGGGCACCACATGGCTGCTCTTCAAAGAAAAGCTCATGTTTTGGGTAGGAAGCCTCGTCACACACTTAGGCAGAACTGGTCATTGGGAGGAGACTCTTCTGACTGCTGCTGTCTTTCAATACAGGACCTGCTCCAGATTGTGCAGAGGGGCCGGGCCGGAGCCCTTTAATTTGGCTGGAAATGGGAGCAGCGTGATCAAGGACACGGTGTGTGTAAAAAGACCATCTTGGAAACAGGAGGTGGAGTTTCTTGCAGAGAAACTAAGTGTATATCAGTCACTGGAGGAGACTCTGGAAAATGAAACAGAAGCTGGAATGGCTGTCACTGCCACATCATCTAATTCAGCCTTGTTGTGGTGCTGCCACTGCTTGTAAGAGGACACAAGCTCTGCACTAAATGAGCTTTGCCTGGACTTGTCTCAGCCTTCCAGGAGCTTTGTTGTAGATTGTTTCACTCTTACAGCAGTTGTCTGATGACCAGGAGACTGTTAACCAGCACTGTCTTGGGTTTTGTGCAATTATCTGGTGTGGCACTTGCTGTGTACGTGTTATTGTAAATGATAGATAGCAGGTGCTAGGGAGAATCCCGTGTAAGTGCTGGGCCTGGAGCACAGCTCCCGGAGAGCAGGAACAGACAGGAGGTTGCACGGTGGGTGTGCACAGAGGGGGCCAGGGAGTCGTGGTGTGCCACAGGGCATGGGATCCCACAGACTCTGGAACAGCTTTCCTTGTAGTGACAGAGCCTCTACCCAGGCTGAGCTCTTGTGTGGGAGGATATGGCTCTGCAAGTCTCGTGCTGCAGGGAGCGTTGGAGGCTTCTTGCTTTGGCTGAGGCTGGGGCAGAACAGGATCTTCTTGGAGACTCTGCAGTCTCAAGAGCCTGAATGCCCCATGTGTACTGAAGGCAGAGTCTGTGCTCACTGGATTGGGAATCAATGATGAAGGCTGGAAGCTTGTGACTTGTGGCACCAGGAGGATGTTTCCTATTCCACCTGCACACATACAGGACAAGAACAGCATTAATTCAGTACCCTCTGAGCACATGGGAGGCTGAGAGCTTGGAGTTTCCAGTGAAACAACTGAAGTGAAACAGCAAGGAGCTTTCCAGAGAAACATCTGACCTGCCTTAGCCATGCAGCAGCACCAGTGGAAGCGCTGGGTGCTGGCAGTGAGACCCCCTCCTGCAGGGCATGGAGGCCACCATCTGCCAGCCTGACAAAGGAGATGTGGTGCTTGCTGGGTTCTCCCATCTGGGATGGTATGGAGAGCCTGCCAAGGCTTGTCCAGCCTTCACACTCTTTTTCCTGCAGCTGCTGCTCTTCCATGTGGACATCAATGATCCTGCCAGGGGAGACTCTGGGCATAGCAAGTGTGACTTCATGGCTCTGGATACAATGGCCGTGAGTTTGGGACCTGAGTGGGGGAAGCACCTGAAGGGAAAGAAATGCAGCCTATGGATCAACAACTGGTTGTGCAGCAGATGTCACAGATTTATGAAGGGGAAATCAAGCTTAAGCAACCTGACAGCCTTGTGGGATGGTTTGGTGAATGTGAGGATAGCAGCAAATGTTGATTATCTTGAACTTCCTTAAGGCTTTTTGACACCATCTCTTAACAGCTGCCTCACAAAGTGAGGAAGTATGGGCTACATAAACATGGATAAAATGGACTGAAAGATTGGGATCACTGGCACAAAGTTCAGTGGAGGCAAGTTACTAGTGACGTACCCCAGGGGCGGGTACTGGAGACAGTCCCTTTTCACATCATCTTTATTAGTGGCCGCAATGATGGGGCCAAACGCATTCTTGGGAAGTTAACAGCTGTATAATACTGGGAGCAGTGGTTGATATGCCAAAGGGTTGTGCTGCCATCCAGAGGGACCTCAACAGGCTAAAAGAATGGCTTGACAGGAAATTCAACAAAGGGAAACGTAGTCTTTCAGTCTTTCACCTGGGAGGAACAATGCCATATGCATCAGCACAAGTT